ATCCATCATCCAAGTTTTTTGCCGAAATGCACTGGAGTTGTAATTGTTGATCTGGAAACAAGTTTAATTTACTAGGTTTATTTTGTTGTATGTTTTGAAAATGCAAATGGTTTTTAAAACATGTTCAATGGTTACCAACTCACATACATTTTTTAGGTTGAACCAAGAAAGCCTAATGATATCCTAAATTGCATCATTCAAAAATCAATTTTGCTCATCAGAAACTGTCACACTGAAGTTGTTGGTTTGAGCTTGAAACAAGACAAACAGCATTTTATTCTTTTTGGGTGTGTTTATGAGTGAAAATTTAAAAACGTACGTTTTCAGGAAAAGCACTTTGCAAATTTTTTTCCCCTTTTTTCAAAACTTGTATTATTGTTTTTATTTCATTAACATTTGAAGTTTCATAAAATGTCCATGGTAACGCAATATCTTTGGTATTTTTTTAAAAAAAGAGCATCTTTAGTGGAAAAACACAAAATCCTGTCACGACCATAACAGACGTTTAAATGAATATTAAAAATAGTTAATATTATTTTTATAACTATGTTTTGCTATAAACTAATTTACTTTTATGACCATTATACAATAAAAAGGTCACTGAGCTTTTGGTATATTTGGTCTATCTAGAAAAAAATAAAAAACTCAAAAAATTGAAAAAAAGCCAATAAAATCTTTTTAAGTTTGTATAACTCCGAAAAAACTTACCTGAGACCCGAAAAATCGTTATGTTTGTATAGAGGTGTGCTTCTTTTGTGTATAAAACATTGAAATATGACGATATTTTAATTTTTGAAATTTTTATGATAGAAATCATAAACGTGATGGTCAGGGACTAGCAGTACGGTCGTGAATTTTCTGAAATAATCTAAATCTTTCCAAACAATCCTTCAATTATACTGTTAGTTATAATAAAAATAAGTGTTTCAATTTAACTAAACTGTTTAAATTACAATTATATTAAGGTTATTGTCACGACCAAACACACTATAATCCATAAGGCTGGATTGGTCGTGAAAAAACCCGCGATGGTCGTGAAACTTTGGTCGTGAAATTACGTGTTATTTGGCTCTGTTCTGGTGGTAGCCCTGCACCTCATGTTCGAGGATACAAAGTGAACTTCTAGGTTAATCTAGCAATTGAAATATCTTATAAACAAAAATTAACACCATGTCTACTTCATCGAATGACTACGTACGGTCATGGACACACCAAAATTACAAAAAACCCAATTTTCCCTTTATTAATCTTGTAATTCCTCCTTTCAACTCGAAACGACCGGCACTACAATCCTGACGTACACCCCGAACTAGTCTCTAAAACCAACTGACTCCATCGACGCCAGGCTTGCCCCTGTCGTGCTCCAAAGTTGAAAATTTTTCCCAAATGGTCGTGACACCAAATCGAGGGACAGACTTATTTTGTCATGGTAGTCAGTTTGCAATGACAAGAAAATTATAATATGCTCCTTTTTTGTAAGTTTAATAACCATTGATGACATAAAAATATGGCTTTATATATTTCGGCATGAATAATTAGTCTAAAAACAGCGTGAAAGTTGGAAAATGTACCCTAGGGACACGTCATGGTCGTGAGATTCGGGACTTTAAAAATACGAAAAAAATACCTAGAACCTATTTAAAACCAAATAAATGTGTGTAACATGTTGCCCCCGTCCCAAAAAATATTAAAACACATAATAATAAACTAAAAATCCAGTATCTACGAAGTAAAAGGCCAGGGACATGAAAACGTACGTTTTTAAATTTTCACTCTTATGTCATTGTAATTTTTCAACATTTTGAAAGGGAACGGTCCAAACCCTGGTCTTTGTTACTATCTAACCTTGATGTTTCGTTTGATAGCATCATTAATTAATAGCACAATAACAAATGGCATCTGGGTCTAGTAATGATCTCTTGGAATCGAACCAGCGACCATCAGATTATAAGGTGAGCGCTGATACCCCTCGGCTATCAACCACAATTTTAATGATAATTGTGGGTTTTATGTTTGCATAATTGAAGCAAAGACTTAATGAGTACGGTAATATTTTTTTGAAATACTCTGCAAGCTAATGCCACACTTGTTTTCAGTTAGGTACCTTCGTATTATTAATAAGTCTATTATTAATGATCCGAACAATGTTTAACACAATATGCCTCCCATTAGCTGAACATAAAAATGTCACATGTTGTAGGGCCTTTTTAATTTTAAAGCTCAAAATGTGAGGAAGTACTTTTTGACAGTTTGTAAAAGGATGTATAAACAAATCTTTAAGCAGCAAGTTGTGGCAGCCTTTTTATTGATTTTTCCAAATATTTCATTCGAGTCAGTAGGGTCTTGTGAACATGGATTTTACTGTAAAAAATACACTTTTTCCAAATAGAATGTTTAATGCAGATTCTAAAAAAAAATAATTTAAAATATCATTATGTTGACTAAGAGTTGAAAAATTAAATTTTTGTAGGCGATATCAAGAAATTTATAAAAATCTAAACATTGCTGTTTCCGGTAAAAGGAGTTAGATATAACTATCCGAATCACATATTTTTATTGCAATTTTCCTGCATAATATTAATAATGCCCCAAAATATTACCAATCACCCTGTATACATACACATTTGAACAGATAGTGTTTTTGGCCTCTGGGAACATAAAAATGAAAAAGTAAATCAGTCCTGGATCTAATTCTTACCGTGAGACCATTGGTAAAAGCCCTTCTTCCATATAGAGAAATTCACAAAAACTTACTACAACTGGTTATGGAGACTGGTTATTATAGAGATGGGATGTCTTCTTCGGTATTTAATGTCAAGGGTTATACAGGGTGTCCCGTAAGTAAACAGCCAAACAGCCAAACTCCGGAAAATAGTTCTATGGGTCAAAATAAAGAGTAAATCAAGAATAACATTTTTTTTTCAAAATCGCTTTGTTAACCAGATATCCGCCATTTTGTATTTTTTATACATAAACATTTTTATTTTTGAATTTTTTCAACCGATCTTTATAAATAAACTTGGTATGTAGGTTAAGGTAGAGGAGCCCCATGTTAGAAAAAATTCATCTTGATTCAATTTAAAATTTCCAAATGGCGGCCATTTTAAGTCGAATCAAGATGACATTTTTCTAACATGGGGCTCTTCTACCTTAACCTACATCCCAAGTTTTATAAAGATCGGTTGAAATATCCAAAAATAAAAATGTTTATGTAAAAAATACAAAATGGCGGATATCTGGATTTTGGAAGAAATGTTATTCATGATTTTCTCTTTATTTTGACCCATAGAACCATTTCCTGGAGTCACTTACGGGACACCCTGTATAATAATCTTTATTATTGATTGGTTTTTCTTGGTTTGAATTAAGTTTTCTCATAATCAACTAGGCATGGATCAAAATAACTTTATTCAACACTCACACACAGAATATAAATCTGCAGAATGGTGTCAGTTACATTAACACATTATACGTGTAAAGACTACCTACTATAGTTCGGCCGCTTAGAAAACGACCTGCGCGCTAATGCTAAACCAATGCTGGAGGAGGTCGCTTTCTAAGCGGCCGAACTATACAATTTTATACTCTTTCCTTAAGGCTACTGTACAGAGAAAAATACGATCAGAGGATCAAAAAGAAAAAAACCTTTGTTTACATTTTGTTTCTTTACATTTCTAATTTAAAATTCAGTAAGCCCAGCTGTTTCATTTTTAATTTACACTATTGTATAGTCAATGCTAAAACCAAATATAGCGATTTTAACATGTGAATTGCAACTGGGTGTAATTAGTGAAGAACTTGAAGTTAAAGTAGAATTTGTTTGGTTTTTAAAGGTGAGGATCAGTATCTATTATGTTTTCTTTTTAAACTTCTAAACACTAGTGGATGTGATAATTGGAGAAAAAATTTCAAAGAAAAAAAATTATTAATTTGTTTGGCAGTCAAATGTTGTTGGTTTTGTTTTTATGGTGTCAATCCAACCGGGTAAACTAAGAAATTAACTTGAATTTCAATGACCAGAGAAAGCTGGGAATCGTAAGTATATGTTTTATTGGAACGGGAAATTTAAAGTTTTTGATATCGACCAATTCAATCTGCCACAAATCCCCGTTTGTTATCATTTCACGTCGTCAAGTCACGTAAATTGCATTCACGGTAAAATACCACAATGAACCGGTGATTGCGAGAGTTGATAACGATGTTCCCTAGAGATGATTGTCCGTAGTGACGGTAGATGGTCTAATACAGATTATTTGATAGGTACTACGGATAAAAGAGAAAAGCCACAAAAGCTACAAATAATTTTAATCTGTATGGTATGCATTTATGGTTTTTAGGAATGGATCATCAGTTGATAACATTTTATATGCAGGTGAAACTTTAAACGATAATAAAAGTGACATCTGCAAAAGCGCTATTATGAGTCCACTTTACAAATATTTTTCGATAATGCGGTACTCTAAAAAGGTGCCAGGCCAAAAGAGGCTTATTGATGTATAGATTCAGCTATTAGCAATGATTACTCTCGATGAGTTTCCTAAACGCCATTAAGGGAAGGGGACTCCCATCGCACCGGATAGATCTTAAGCTTGACAACTTCCTAAGGCTAACGTAAGACATGAAAATGCATATCCAATGAAACTGGAATGTAAGTGAAAGACTGTAGTATTAGTATTGTATCGTAAAAATATAGCAATGAGTCCAGTGCAGATGTTGATAAGGACTCAGTCGATGCAGATGTTGATAAGGACTCAGTCGAGGGGTCGAGGTCCGCTAACCATTGTTGTTTTTAAAGAGGAGTTGTAAGTAGTGAATTTCAGTTTAATTAATCCTTTATTTCTTACCATATATTGATTACTTTACTTAACTAAATGGATTCATTCATACAAGCAGACAGTTCAATTTTATTCCGTGCAAAATCGCACAGGTTCCTCTAGGTTGTCTTAAACGCCTTAAGTTTTAAAAACGTTAACAATATGATTGTCCCAGTAAAACTTCCTAATCTTTACTTTAAACTAATGGTGTGACATAATTGGCGAACACAGAAACAGAAAAACAACATCAAAATATAAATCAAAGAACTGAATTCAAAACATAGATACTATTTTACAGTACTTTACCGTACAACCGTGCTTTACCATAATTGTTGTACTTCACTGTACATTTTAAATTTGATAATACTGTTTTTACCTCACTAAACACTGAAGTTCATTCAAGTCCATTTTCAACTTTCAGAAGAAGCTAAAGGCACGACAACAGCTTCGTCCCAAGGTCCATAAATATTCTCCTTGTATCTATACCACTTGAGGAACCAAACAGGGCAAAGCACGTTGATAAACAACACAACGAGAACAAATAAGACAGTCATCGTAAACGAAACCGTCCATAGAGAGTAAACGGTCAGACAAGTAAGGGTAAACAATGTTCCAAACGAACCTTCTACTTTCGCTAAGACAAGCGGTAGCATCACAAAACACTCGACTGTTAAACACAACAAAATAAACACGTGGAATGAACTCGGTAGCCGAGAAGAGAGACAAATGGCACCAAAAATAGCAGAATTTAGCGATAAAGAACTCGAAACTATCAGAGCTTTGACACCGTAGTCGAAAAAAATTAGGTGAACAGACATCATGAAAACTGTGGTAGCGTAAATCGTGTCTGTACTGATTGATTCAGTCAGTGTTTTCAACACAGGAGATAAAATGTAACCGAAAATGAAAAAGACTAGGACAGTTCGCACGTGGCGTAATCTTCCAGATTCATTGTAGATACAGATCACGTAGCAGAACAACGAAACTACTCCTGTTTGAGCCAGAATGAGTTCTAGAGGCAACCAGCCGTTGTGAAGGTACATGAAGATAACAATGAACAGAACGACGAGGCAGAACTCTTGTGTGACCAATCCAGCTCCCAAAATAGCTTCTTTTAGTGTCACTTGATGCATGTTGATGTTCTTCTTCATTTCGTCCAGGAACGATACATCGGTGTAGTTGTCCGGGTAACCTTCGTTCCCGTAGAGGATTTTCCGCCATTTTCTCCTAGGTTTGTTCATGGTGACCTGTAAATAAATTAACCTAAGTCACGAATTGATTTAGAAACTTGGGTTAATACAGATGGTTTTCTCTTAACGCACCGATATTCCCATTTTTGTTATATTTAGTGATTAACCTTAATACAGTATTTATAAAATTGAAACATATTGTTAAAGGAAAATATCTATCTTATTCATAAAACAAATAATGTCAAAAAATTAACAAAAAGGAAACACAGTAAATTAATTGCAGATATTCAAATTGGGAAGATTTTTGGGAGTACTTCGTAGGCAGGAGGGCACAAAACTGAAGGTGGTTTGTCACACCGTACCTAATGGACTTAAGATGGTATGACCAAGTCAAGAAGGATGTGATCCAGTGCATAGGAGAAATCAGGATGGCAGAGGCTAGACAAGAGGGGAGGGATGGCACTACTCTAAAAGGCAAAACAGAGATTTGAGTCACCCCAGCAGTAAGTAAGTAAGATTTTCAAAATGACTTTTGGTTAATTCAATATTTTATTGAACAACTATACAACTGTCAATTTATGAAGCACGGTACTTTGACAAAGCTTGAACTGTATCTTCATTCTTCAATGTAAAGTTTTCTGCTCCTGATTAAAAATAAAGAAATTAAAATAGTTATTTGTGTAACTATGGGCAAAGGCAGTTTGCACTAGTGTTTCATTATATTTTTCCTACAGTTACCTAACAATGTACCGGTACATGTTCTCTCACTGATTTGAGAAAGCAAAGTGGCCAATTCGCTCACCAGTGAGACAATGTTAACATTGTCTCACTCTAATTACTTTGTCTCACTCCAGATTTGCAACGTGAAGGCACGAAATAGTGAGCGCGTAACATGCAGGCAACGTCGTATGCGCGCGAAATACGTTGGCAGCACTGGCTGTAAATCAGCTGGTCAGCTGTTGTACTGTTGTATTTGTCACTTCACATTAAATGTTATATTAAAAGTTCACTTCTGTGTAAAAATAGGTTATGTTTCTTCATGTTTCTTCACAAATGTTTTTGTTTTATGGTAACTGTAGGAAAAGTATAATGTGCAACTCGAGTTCAAAGTACAATTGCCTCACTCGAGAAACCATTCCTCACTCGCCTACGGCTCGTGAGTAAGGATTTCTCTCGAGTGAGTCAATTGCTCACTTTTCTCACTAGTTGCACAAATAACTATTTCCAAAAGTTACTATAAAGCATAAAAATAATTTGTCTTTCAAACACTGTACAACACGTTTATAAGTTAGGTTGAACCCAAACATTGAACGAAATGGGAAACGCTGCACTAGCTGATTGTAGTTGTAATATTTTTAAGTTTTGTCAACTTATTTTCATCATTCACGTATTACGTTGTTGTGCGGTAAAAGTAAAACGTGTGCGGCAAAAGTTAATAGATGCAGCAATTAACAACTTTCTGTGCTTTAATCAGTGCAAGGAAGACCACTTTGTCAGGTGACTGTAGGAAAAAGTCTGTGTTCCATGTTTGACATTTTATCAGTAGCTAATTGAAATATTCTACAATACTGACTTAACATACAATCATATTGTAGACTGAAATAAGATTTTTAGCTTTTTGTTACTGTATTTTGTTTAGGATATGTTAGTGGTCGTCGGTAAAAACTACGCCTGAGATGTATTTCTTGATTTTTCCTTTAAATTCAAGAAAATGAAGAATATAAACAGAGAGCTCATGTGTAATCCCCTGATAAGCAAGTAATATATTTGGACAGTAGAGTTTATCAGTGTTTCCACTTACTGTAATCTACTGTTGTTAGAGAGAGATTAGATATCAATCAAGTGGGATCTGATAGTTAATTGATTGTTGATTATTGTTTCATTGATAGTATTATACAGAGTGCTAGTTTTAACAAGTGTTTGAGCTGTAGATTGAATTCAGTTGAATAACTCTTATGACTACTTATAGTTTGTGCATTTTGTGGAAGTTTTAGAAAACGATTCTTGTCTACTCACAAAAGTGTAAAATATAATAGTTAAGTGGAAAATGTAAATGATGTAAAATGATTTTCCCATATACGTAATAAGTTATGTAGGTCTCATAAACCTAGACCTGGGACCGCTTTACATTTAGTTTTGTCCTCACTAAAAACACCATCCGTTCAAATTCATATTATATATTTTTATTACTTTTAGATAACTCGAGCAAAAACCATCCCATTTTGTTGAAATTTGACGGTCCTTAGTAAAAAAGTACTGAAAAAGTACTTAGCTTTGATGAAATTTGGCTGTTGCAGTTAGCTTGTTTACAGATCTATTTTGATCAAATTTGGAAATAAAACCAGGTAAATGGAAATTTGTTTAGCCTGCAGGTTTGCTGTAACAGGGGGTATTTATATTATTGGCTCTGAAATGGGGTGCTGAGTATAATAATCTACGTCAAGAGGAAACTCATGAAAAAAGACCATGAGTTGGAAATATCAAGGTTGTTAAGCTTCGTTCCTACGACACGTGGTAGAGCGAAACCAGGGATGTCCTTGATCAGTGAATATGCAAAGTAAACCTTTGCGAAACTACTGTTCTCACGATGCGTGTTGGTTCGTACATTTCAATATCCACTGATAGGCTGGAAGAAAAGGGCAGAGTGCACCTCCCCCCCAGCACCGAACACGAGCCACAATTCTTTGATGTTTTATGAGTTTACCGACTTTTGGCGGGAACGATCCCACCCTAAACGAACTACCTCCTAGCGCTACACGGACCACGGACGTGCTGTTCCCACGACACGTATTGATTCGAGCCCCTGCTCAAGGACATCTGTCGTTTTGCCTACCAGGTGTTGTGGGAACAAGGCTTTACTATTTCTTGTATGCAGAAAAGCCAAGGAACTACTAAGCCAATGCACCAGAGGGTGTTTGTGTTAAGTAAACATGAGTGTATGAATGAATGATATTTGTGTATACCTTAGAATAATATCTGCCAGCAAGTTTATCTAGGACCATTAATGAGCTGGGTCCAGATTCGGACCATACTAGACCCAGCTGTTTTTTTTTTTTTTATCAAAGGGTGCAGCTGATGTAGCTGTTGAGTGCAGAACTTCTGTAGTGAATCCTTCAAATCTTGCCAATCACAAACAGTGTTTTGCTACCGATATGTCATAATTTTGAACTCGGAGGTTTGGAACTGACCTTAAGCTTAAGGTCTACGATACCAATCCATAAATTCATTTATTTGTATTTAGTCGGTGGCTCAGTCGGTAGTGTCGCGGACTTTGGGCCCAAGGCAGCGATGTCGTGGGTTCGGATCCTAGTCACTGCCACTAAAATTTATCAGTACAGTTCACCTTTGTACTGTACCGGCTCACTCCTTGCTTTGCTGTAAACGCTCCACGCACGGGCGCTTAGTCTATGTGGACGGGCAAATGCAAGATTAAAAGAGGCCGCCAACCTCTTTAAAAAAAAGCCAATAAGGTCTTCATTAAAAGAGAAATCAACTTCATAAAAGTCATTCTTTAACCATAGGGCTAAATAATTGATCATAGACGAAAACAACCTATATCTTTGTCATTGAAATTTATTTATTAGTTGCGGATTTCACCAGTCCGACAGTCCACTTAAGGTCATAAATCTGGTAGTTCCTATTTTTATAATTAGTTTGAGAGTGCTGTTGGTAACAATGAGCAGGGTAGTGTTTCACCTAGAGTGTTTAACTTGAAGAAAACTGGAGATGATATCTGGCCCTTGACCACTGTAGGCTATAACTGAAATTACTTTGATTCAAAATTCTATAACCACATATTTACATAAGTAAAGACCGTTAATGTTTTGTTTCTTACAAAACACTATAGAAAGGTATGTGTAAAGTCATGGAGGAAAAATACTAAGCTATAGAACTCCCTTTTGACTCTGAATATTACTGTTTGATCTCAAGTGGCTGATTCTATACCCAGGTTGCCACTTATTGAGCAACAAATGAATGCTGCTTTTTTTTTAAATTAAATGGTAACAGTAATGAATAAAAAGACCAGGTGTTGGACTCTCCCTTACAAAAAAGTATCAAAAATAGAAAAGAAACTGCATCACATATAAATTAACATGTAAAAATTTGACTATTGGTATTTCAATAACTCAATTTATATCCGCTAGCAATTCAAGAATAAAACTTCACTTTCAGCATGTCCAGACCATCACATAAAAGTTTATGAGTCAAAACTTGACTATTGTTTTTCTACAACTTAATTTATCTTCACTAGCAATTCAACAACAAAATTTCACTTTCAGCATGTCCAGACCATCATATAGAGGTTTATGGGTCAAAACTTGGCTATTGTATTTCTACAAACTGAATTGTTATATTCACTAGCAATTCAACAATAAAACTTCACTTTCAGCATTTTCAGACCATCACATAGAGGTTTATGGGTCAAAACTTGGCTATTGTATTTCTACAAACTGAATTGTTATATTCACTAGCAATTCAATAATAAAACTTCACTTTCAGTATGTCCAGACCATTCCGTGGTAAACTCAGTCATATTATAGACAGCCAGGGCCGTTACATTGTAGGACCGATTATGTTTAACGATTGTCGACGGATCACCCAAAAGTACAGTCTTATTCTGTCTACAGGCTTCGAACAACCTAGGTAAAAGCGGATCCATAACCCTCCAATCATAGAACAAGTCACCAATAAAAATTGCATCCCAATTTTGAAATTTGTTTCCTTCTTCAACAAGATTGTCTTTTGATATTTGAAATGAAACTCTGTTTAATTTTGAATTCAAACTGATTCCCATACAGGTCACTGTGAACAAAATTATCTTGAATTAAAACAATTTACTGGCGAAAATATGTTTAGCATTTGTCCTTTGAATATTATTTAACTATGCGTGTTTTTAGCGAATTTCCCATATAGGGAATAAGCTATTACCGTAGTACTCATGGTAAGACCTGGACGCGGGACCGATTTTTTTTTTCGTTTTGAGGTCCCTAGAGGCCAAAAACACCATCCGTTCAAATTCATATATATATATATATATTTATATATATATATATATA